TTTGACACAATGTATGTATGTACATATGTATGTATTGTGATAATAGCTCTATGAGCCCCCAATAAAATGTTAAGAAAAAGAGTAACTAGATTAATTGTTTCTTAGGATGTATGAACTATAGATCAGCAAAAGTAAAAAAACCCAAAAAACAGAAATCCCAAAGTTTTTGAGGGTTAAGGCAAGGGTTGTTGGAGGAGGTGGGGAGCTCATAGTAATGAGTTAACAAAAAACACGAAAAAAGAAAAATATGTTTTAAAATTGGTTGTGATAATTGCATAACTCCTTTAAGTATATTAAAACCATTAGTTTGTATAGTGTATGAATTATATGTCCATAAAACTATTGAAAAAACAAAGCTAGTCACTCAGTGAGTGTAATAATGGATGATGGTTACAGTGACGTGGCAGTAATGTGATGGGTGGCTAACCACAGGGCCAACAGCAGTTCTACCTTGTCCTGTAGGGTCACTATGAGTAGGAATGAACTTGATGGCTGTGAGTTTGGTTTTGTGAAGTGTCTCCCCACTTTGTGATCTCAAACCTGTGCTGTGTGTTGGGCTTTGCTATTTTAGGTAGTGGAAGAGCTAAACTTAGGTTATATATGTTGTCTAAAAGACCTACTATCAGACAGATTATTGTAAACTTGACTGTGGTAGATGGAACTATGGTTTAATAGGGTACCTGGTTAGCTGATCTCCCTCTGTTCCATTCTAGCTTTGCTCCAGTTAAAAAAATTGTTTTTGCTTGTTTCTTGATAGAGCTTTGCTTATTTTAATATTGCAGGTGGTCTTTTCATTTGGTCTTTGGTATGTTTCCCAGTATATAAAGCACAGAAAGGATGATGTATAGTGACCATAATTGCTGTAATGACTTGTTGGGATGGAAGGGGAAGGTTGGGGAGCAAATGGTGAATCAAAGAGGTGGAAATATGTGCTGGAACTGATTATGGTGATGTATGTACAACTCTTTCTAAATATGACCCGACCCTGGAAGTGTCTGATAAATGAATTTTATTGCAATAAAGCTATTGGGGGGTTAAAAAAGGAAATTGTGTTCCTTTGTGACCTCCTGCCCCCCTGTACTTCCTCTAGTTTTGGGAGGCATCAGGCCCTAGTTGGCACACATGATTTAACGCCTGCTGTTAACTTAATGGGCAGCAGGTGGAATCCACTCATATGCACCCCACAAGAAAGACCTGGCATTCTACTTCTGAATAAATCAGCCACTGAAAACCACACGTGCACACTTTACTGTGCCACAGGTGGGTCCGAGTGGGTTCAGTGGCATCTATGAAGAATGCTGCAAACAGCATCCCTGGCTCTTAAGCAATGCTCTTTTTGCCGACTGAAATGCCAGCTACTGTCCTCAGCACTTGCGGCAGCACAAATAGCCGCACATGGGGTACCACCAGTTGAAGGTTGGACAGGCAGGCTTTTGAGGATTCCCAAGCAATGAAAGATTGGAGAATGATTGTAATGCTCTGAGAAAGACATCCCAGCATTCTGGCACATGAACTAAGTTCTCCTGCCACATCAGTGCTAATGAGACCAGAGCAGCCGCTTGTTCCCCATGGGTACCAGGGGAGAGTGCTGGGGACTTCAGCAAGTCTCCCTGCACAGAGCTATGGGTGACAAAGAGGAGACCGTGAGACCTCTGAATGGCCTAGAAGTAGCAGGGTGCCCTCCCATGGTGTGTTGGGACCTTTTCTTGGAGAGTTGGGGTTGTCATCCTGTTGAGGGGAGACGGACCTTTTGCTTGCCCAGGAGGGGGTGTTTCTCCAGTCTCCTTTACCCTGATTGGGGAGGAGCAGTGGGCCCAGGTCATCTCTCCCTTACCACTGTTTAACCAAACTGCCATGCCCATCAAGTTCATTCTGAGTCATAACCACCCTAGATACCGGTTCTGAGCCGGCAAATCTTTATAGGCATCAGAGAGCCTCACCTTTCTCCCTCGGGTCAGCTGGTGGGTTTGAACTGATCTGGGATTGGAACTCAGCCCAGAACCCACAGCACCCTCAAGGCTTCTTTACTTTTGTATACTCACTACTTTCTAGTTGATTCTGACTTAACTAGTGACCCTGTATAGATGTCCGAGACTGTAAATCTTTACAGGAGCAGAAAGCTTCATTATTCTCCCAAGGAGCAGCAGATGGAATTGAACTGCTGACCTATGCTGTTAGCAGTCCAAAGTAACTCACAAGGCCAACAAGTTTGTTTTATTTCTGTATTCCTCGGTTCCCTTGAGTTGATCCCAGCTCACAGCATCCCTATAGGGCAGGGTAGAGCTACTCCGTAGGTTTTCTGAGACAGGAACTGTTGATGATAGGAGTAGAAAGCTTCATCTTTCTCCTTTGGCGTGTCTGGTGGTTCCCAACTGCTGACCTTGGGCTCAGCAGCCCACCACCAGGGCTCCTTTCCATAATATCACTGGAGAGACTCTTTAGGTGAAATGTGTGTTTGCGCATAACAGTTCAAGAATATTGTCATTTATTGTAATGCCCCATTTGAGGGAAAGAGCTGTCTCTAAATATTCCAATTGGGAAGAAAATGTTACGTTAGTTTTATTTATTTTATTCTTCCTCCCTAGTCCTCCTACAACATTCTACTTTTCTGTTGGGTCCCGTAGTTCATTTCAGTAGCCACATAGAACTCACAGACAGACAAACTCACAATTATGGGGGTTTATTAGGGAAGGGATGTTTACAGAGTACCGCAAGTCAGGGTCAGTAAACAGCATTGGTTCACAGTAGTGCCTGTCCTCACTCAGCAGGCAAATCTCTCTCCAGCCCTCAGCTTCTTGGTCACATGGCCCCTTGGCTTCTGCCTCTGGGCCAGGGAGCTCTCCCTGGTTCCTTTGCTCTGTACCCTGGTCTCTGGTGTCTCTGGTCTCTGTCTCCCCCACTTCAAGCAGGGATTTCCCACATGTTCCCCTAGTGACTCTTCACGGATGGTCATCACAGTGTCTCTCACACTGTATTTGCATCATTCCACTCAATCATTTGGTGAGAGTTACAGAGAGAGGGATAGAAAACCCCCATTAAGAGATTTCACTTCACCACACTCCTTATGCATCAATTTCTATTTTGAGACAAAGTTGAGCTATCAAAAGCAAAGAATCACCTGCATATATCTGATGCTAAATGAAGGATTGTGTCAAAGGCAAAGGTTGTTTCAGACTCAAGTTCTAGCGATTTTCAAACCCTTGGCCTTTAGTAATTCTTCATAGTCCATGAGGAAGTGATATGAGGGTGTGTGCAATGGTGACTTGGACTTTTACTGCGTGAGTGGCTTGTGTATTGAGGACAAGACGGCACCTTAGTAGGTGTTCCTACAGGGAGGAATTTGGTTGTGTAGGAGAAGGCCATTTGGCAGGGACAGGGGTATGAGCAAGTGAAGGAAAGCTCCTTTACCTGTGTGTCTTGTGACTCAGAGCATTGTTCTGCTGTTTCTTTGCATTTAGTGTTAGTAAAGAAAATTGCTCTCTGTGTCCTACCCAGGAGCCATGGTGGGTTATACACTGGGCTGCTAAGTGCAAACCACCAGCCGCTTCTCAGATTTGTAGTTAGTCTCAGAGCGCCACCGAGGCAGTTCTACCCTGTCCATAGGAACTCTAGGAGTCAGAAGCCCCTCAGTGGCAGTGGTTTCCAACCCAGTATCTTCATTTTTGTCTCGCAGATTTGTTGGTCATTGCCATCTGATTAGCTCCATCTCAGGGTAACCCCGATGGGCAGCCATCAAGACCCTTGGTGTGCTCAAGCCTATTGCTATGGCTGCTCTTTAAGTGCCTTTCCATCTGGATGGAAACCTCTTAGCGTAGTGGGTTAGTCGTTGGGCTCTTAACCGCAAGTTGGAAACGGCCGGCAACTCTGAGGAGGGAAGAGAAGGCTTTCTATTCCCATAAAGACTTACAGTCTCATAAACTATGATGTTGTGCATCATAATTGACTCATTGGCAGTGAGTGAGCTCCCATTTGGAGCGCTCATCTTCCGACATGACATAGGCATACCTGACTGTATTGCACACCACAGATGTTCTGTGTTTTACAAGTTGAAGATTGGTGATGACCCTGCTTTTAGCAAGTCTGTTGACACAGCTTTGGTCTACTGGCACCCCCTTTTCAATGGCACATGCTCACTCCATGTTATTGTGGCACACTTTGGTCATTCTCACAATATTTGAATTCTTTCATAAATACTGTCGTACAATGAATTACAGTACATGCACTGGGGGGAAATTGTAACTCATGTGTTACTAGCTGTAGTGTGGTGATCTGGAACTGACCCTGCAACATCTCTCAGGAATGCTTGTTTCAGAAGGAGCTCTGGTGGTGTATGGGATTACATATTGAGCCGTTAACCATAAGGTCAGTAGTTTGAACCCACCAGCTAGCTGCTCCATGGGAGAAGGATGATACTTTCTACTCCTATAAGCATTTATAGTCTTGGAAACATCAAGGAGCATTTCTCCACTCTGTCCTACAGGGCCACTCTGAGTTAGAGTGGCCTTGATGGCAGAGTCTGGCGTATTTTTGTGTTTGTTTTGTGCCTGTATTAGATCTTCTGTTGCAACCCCCAAGGTTTTTGTCAGCTAATTTTTGGAAATAGAAGGTCAGGGCTCTCTTCCTAGTCTTTATCTGAAAGACCTGCTGAAACCTTTCTACCACGGATAGCCTTGCTGGCATCTGCAACACTGGTGGTGGTGTAGCTTCCAGCATTGTAGCAATAAGTAAGCCATCAGAATACAACAAGATAGGCGGACTGGTGGCCGTGGGGAATAGATAATTATAAATATTTTCTTCAAGACCAGAACCTGAAATGCATGAGCGGTAGAGATCAATTGATGACATTAGATCTTAGCCTCATTTGTGTCTTCAAAGGAGCTCTGGTGTCATAGTGGCTTAGGGGTTGGGATACTAAAAGTGAAACCTATATTAAGAAAAATTGATGTGGCTTGTAATTTTTATGGAAATGTTTACTTGTTTCCTCTTCTCTCCCCCTTTAGGAAGGCTCCAAAGTAATTCAGCCTATATTTTTGGGAAAAATTATTGATTATTTTGAACACTATGATCCCACTAATTCAGCAGCTTTGCACACAGCCTACATGTATGCTACCGTGTTGACAGTGTGCACACTCATTCTGGCCATCCTGCACCACCTGTACTTCTATCACGTCCAGTGTGCTGGGATGAGGCTTCGGGTGGCCATGTGCCATATGATTTATCAGAAGGTAAGTGATATCTGGTTTCAAAAACTTAGAACATTATCATTGGTTTTCTCCTGTGACCCATTTTTAACTTGTTTGAATTTCCCTTCTGATTTCTCTTGGTTTGAGGTTTTTCCTGTGTTTTGTTTTTTTGTCATTGTTAATTTGCGGGGGTTATATTTTTCTTTATATGAAATCTCTCCCTGCCATCGGATCAGTGCTGACTCATAGTGATCCCCTGTGGGTTCCCGAGACTGTCTTTCCCCCAAGGAGCTGCTGGTGGCTTTGAACTGTCGACCACAGAGATTGCAGCTCAGAGGGTAACCATTACACCACCGGGGCTCTTATATATGAAATCTAGGATAGGTAAATCTACAGAGACAGCAAGTAGATGAAAAGTTCCTTAGGGTTATGGTTGGAGTCCTGGTGGCATGGTGTTTACCTGTTGGGCAGCTATTCAAAATTGGAGTGGTTCCAACGGATAAAGGGGGCGCTTTCTCTGTCTGTGGAGAGGTACACCTTTAGAAATTAGCATGCAGTACTACCCTGTCCGATAGGATTGGGTGATGAGTCAGCCTTGGCTCAGCTGCAATGAGCTTGGGTTGGTATTGGAGGCTTAGGGCAGGGGAGTTGGAAGGTGAGAGAAGCTAAGATTAGTACAAGAATGAATAAAACGTTCGAAAACTTGAGGTGCTGAGGATTGCATAACTATTTTCTACATATAAACCATTGACTTGTATGCTACGTGAATTATGTGTCAATGAAACTGAAAAACAAAACAAAATATGCTGTGAAAACATCTTTCTCACCTTAGGACAACATGAACAATGTACCTGTATTTAGTGAAATTTTTCTTCTATAGCCAAGGCTGTACGATGTGCTGATGAGGCACATAATAAATTTCAAGTGTAATCTAATGAAAAAGGAAATGACAAATGGATTGTCCATGTTTTATGTATAGCTCAGAGTCATATTTTATGGAAAGTTTTGTTCGTATTTAAATGTAAACAGTTGTAGCCAGCTGTATAAACAGACATGAAATCAGATCTATAGAATTAAATCTAGGCAAAATGAATGCAGAAAGAGGATATAATTCTGGGACTCAACGTGAACATACAGATTAGTTGAGAAATCGCACATATTAGTCTTCTGTTCTTCAGTGAACTGTTTATAATCCGTGAGCAGAACGAACTTGTTAGCTGATGAGTTCGTAAGCGAAACCCATGGCACATAAGAGTGCTGCTGAATCCCTAAAGTTGCCATTCATAACTTATTTAATAAAATGGTAGAATGACTGAGATACAATTTTAAATTTTAGAATACTCTTATCACCTAGTAAGCTTGGAGAGAACATAATGTTTCACTGATTTCATTAAAGTTCCCAAAGGGAATATATATCTTAATTATAGTTGTTTATATGTACATAGAAATATATTTCCTATCCCTTTAATGTGCATTGTATTATAGCTCTCCTACAGATAGACCTGATTTAATGTCTTGAGTATTTTGGTGTGTAATTGAGAACTGCCGTAAACTGTCCCATCATCTCACCTTTTGTAAAGGAAGGGAGAAGTCAAGTATCTTCATGAGGAGTTGGCTGCTGGGCTGCCAGAACTAAGCGCTTGAGAACCTTTATAAACATGGTCCTGTGTTCCGGCTCCCTCTTTATCCTGGACTGCCTGTCTTGCTCTTTTTAAAATTTATTTATTTCAATCATTTTATTGGTGGCTCGTACAGTTCTTATCACAATCCATACATCCATCGTGTCAAGCACATAGGTACATTTGTTGCCATCATCATTCTCAAAACATTTGCCTGCTACTTGAGCCCTTAATATCAGCTCCTAATTTTCCCCCTTCCCTCGCCCTCCCCTTCTCTCATGAACCCATCATAATTCATAAATTATTATTATTTTGTCATATGTTACACTGTCCAACGTCTCCCCAGGGCACCCACTGATATGATTATCTTTTTAAAAAAATCTTCATTTAAAGATCAAACCAAGCAAAGTGTCAACTTCTTTTTACCTATTTGATATTTACATCAAGCTTCTGTTTATTGCAAATATTTTTCCCAGTCAAACACAGGACATGTTTTCCATAATGGCTTTGGGGCAGCCTTGTAATGGTATGACTCTTGGAGGCCCTGGCATCTTACTATTTGTACCACGAGCCCAGCTTCCTTGCGGAAGGAGTAACGAGGCCTGCACGTTCTAATCAAGGGTTGATGAATGGGTGAACTGAAAGCGCTCTTAAAATCATGTTATCAGGGAAATGAATGACGACCTCCCTCTTCCTCCTCTTCATCATCATCGTAGTCTGTGGTCCTCCCTTCTACTTTTAGCGGGGAGGGTCCCTGGTGTTGCAGCAGTTAGGCACTCTGGAGCGCACCAAAAGACTGGCAGACTAAACCCATCATTTGCTCCCAGGGGGGAAGAGGAGGCACCCAGATTCTTTGATGATTGAAGCCCTCAGAGACCTTTTTGGGGGAGTCCTACCCTGTCTTAGTTTGCGTCTATGACTCAGTGGTGTCAGGGTCTCCCCCCACCCCCTGCTTTTGTTTTGTTTCCCACAGTCAAGAACTGTTAGCTAGATTTAAGAACGCCTTTGTTCCACCAGAGCATTTAAGTCAGCCTCAAAGCTTTCTGGACCGTGAGTAGTCGTCCACCTGTTTTTCTCTTCCTCTTTCCTCCACCGCTTTGGAAAGTAGCCTCTGGGAAATGGGATCCAAGCTGGTACCTTTGCTTACTCGAATGTAAACACCTCCCCAAGGTATTAATTTGCCAGACTGACTAACCTAAAATAATTGCTCCTTAAAGAAGTTAAGAAGCATTGCTGGGGTTAAATCATAGACTTAACCTGAAATTCCAGAAACCTGGGAAAGACAAATTTCCGCATGCACTGATTGTATCCAGCCACAAGCCTCCATGAAGAAATCAGTTACTCCTTCCTCATGCATGGCTTTTTCTTTAGGACACAAGCCTGCTGTGCCTGGGCTCTGGAAGGGCCCTCTGGGAGCATTTGCAGGTTCTGCCCAAGCCACGCCTCCTAATCCCTGGTCCTGGGAGAAAATCAAGCCGGCTTTTGTACGTGGAGCATGGCCGAGCTAATAGGAGTAGTTTGTAGACATTGTAGGATGTGTAACAGACTGTCTTCTGAAGCATGGCTCTTGGTGCTTGTTCTGAATGCCAGGGAGCATCAGAGTCATCCGCCCCTGGCACTGTTCTCTGCCACTTTGCTGGGTACAGTAGCAGGGCAACAGGAAGCAGGCAGACCCTCTCTGTTCAACAAGATTTGGTGCCACAGTGGCTGCAACAATGGGCTCCAACGTAAGGACCGATTGAGAGAATGACAGCGGGCCTAGCCGTAGTCTGTTCTGTTGTATATGGCGTCACTATGAATCGGCACTCACTCAAGGCACCCAGCAACCACGGACTCGCGGTTGCATCTAACCCAGTTGGCTAGGCTTCTTCTGGATAACACCTGAAGTGCTGAGACTCATTAGATTGACCTCCAAAGCCAAAACGATTATTTGTGGGGCAGTATCTGTCCTTTGATTATCGCCCCTTGGAAATGTAATTAGCTTTCTTTTCATTTATTGTCAATCTGTTTTATATTTCAAGAAAAGGCTTACTGTATTCATCTATCCAGAGGAATATTTTAACTTACCACCGTGTTTTAAAAATAATTTTAATATTTTAAAATAATTTAAGTGATAGTGTTCTATTTTTAATATTTTGTAAATTGGGGACACGTGTGATCTCAGGATGGTTTTAGGGTGTAAAAGAGACCCCAAATCTCAATATAATTAAGGAGAGAGCACTTATGAAGTCTCCAGTAGGACAAAGGCAGACTCAGATGAAGGAGACCAGTAGCACGAGGCCACCCAGGTTTCACGGTAAGCAGCCACTTGACATTGAAACAGAGAAACCTGCGAATTTGATACCTCACAGTCAGAGATGGGACTACAGAAGCAGAAGGAAGATCATGAATGAGACACGGGCATTATGTTAGATATAAGAGCTTACAAGAATTGTCCTGGGCTTTCCGACCAAGGCAGTTATGACTGACTCGTGACTATGAGATAGATCCTCAGTACTGTCCATCAAGGACAAGCCTCTAAGAAGTCTGCCTTTCCCCCAGTTGGCTGGAAAGAGGTGAACAAGTACATTAGGAGCAGGTGCTGGAGAACCTTGATTATGGCTCTCAGTCAATGGGGGTTTACCTAGCTGGCAGATGGGAGCCACTGCAAAATTTTGAGCAGGGCTTCAAATTAGTTCATTCCAGGCTGACACCGCTGCTGAGGATTTCCCTTGCTGCCCTGCATATACTGAGTCAAAATCTACATCTTAAACCAAGAGCCCATGTGATTCTTATAGATCCTCATAAGAATGAGAGTTTTCAGAGGATCTTAAACTGTAGGTTCTAATTCAGTGTATCTGGTGGAAAGACAAATTCTCAGCAGTGGGTTGAGCTGGAATGAACTGGTTCAAAGTCCCAGATTTTCAGGAAGTAAATGATCAGAGCCATATTTTAGCTTATGGTCTGCTGTCTAGTCAGGATCTGATAAGAGGCCCACTTAGGATAATGACTTTAGTATTGGAAACCAGTCAGAATGGGCTTATCATTTTCCTCTAATGGTTTTAAAAGGTGAAAGATCAGGGAGGCTTTCCACTCCTGTAAAAAGTTACAGCTACAGCCTTGGAAACCCACAGGCGTAGTTCCACTCTGGCCTGATGGGGCGTAGTGAGTCAGCACGCACCTGGTGACAGTGGGGACTGTTTCAAAAGGAGCCCTGGCCGCACTGTGGAACAAGCCTTGGGCTGCTAGCACAAACTTGGCCGGCACCGCAAGGGAGACAACATAGGAGGATCTGCTCAGTGTTTGAGCATTTCCTCTGGAATCTGGTTTTCAGACAATTGCTGCTGATGACCCCGGTGTAATTTTATTTCTATCTAATCCTGTTTTCTCTCCTGAGTATGGGGTTTTGTTTCAAAGAGTTTGTGGGGAAATGGAGTGAAAAGG